GGACCTTGCTGGAAAGATTCTCAAATTGAATCTGATAATCAGTAATAGAGCCAATTTAGGTAATTTTAGTGAGTATACCTGCTGCATCTTCAAATTCAGTGGGTCCGAATCGGTGGTAATGCAACGGTGAAGTTAGCACACAAAGTGCACAACCCATCACGATTCAATCCTTGGAACCAACGAGCCGCAAGTGGATCTAAATGAAATGAGGCTAGGAGTAAGCGTTCACCATCATGAATTTGGTGATAGAGGGCTAGAGGCAGTAGTGATCCACTGCAAACAGCCAATCAGTAGGATCCCCTGACGCAAAGCGTGGAAAAGCTAAACGAGGGCGTTGAGCTCGTGGTTGCGTTGAAGTATCTGTGGATGATGATGAATGGCCCCCTGGGCTAGATCCCAGTATGCCTAGGTTTGTGTTCCTAATTGATTCGACCATTGTATTAATCTCCACATGCAGATCAGATCAGAGTAAGTGAACTTGGTCACGGATTAGATCTGGGATGAGTAATTGCTGTTGTTGAAGATCTGCAATCTGATTTTGCAAATCTCTGTAACGGGTATTGAAATTATTGTTTGCCATGGCCAACAGAGGAGGAACAATGAAAGCACCAATGTAGCAATGTAGATACAGAAGAAGTAAGGAGCAGGAAAAGACAGAGAGAGAATTTTGGAAATTTTCTGATATTCTCTATATTACTCAAATTAACCTATATAGTACTTGTTGAATAGTAATGGATATGCTACTACAATGGTCCATAGTATAAGGTAATTAAACTAGAGGGTCGAATGATCATTTAATTGTTTGGTCTGTTTTAGTGTACGTTTGGGCCGAGCTGCTACAGGAACACTAGAATTTCATCTGCACGGTAAGCATATTTGGGATACAATTTCATGGTAAGTTTGATAATTTTACTCATTTCTCACAAATATAATAATATGGTTCCAGATAAGGATAAGGCCTAACATTTTTTATCTCTCATATCTCACGATCGTTGATTTGTTTATGAATGATTAAGATCATATCATATGACTTGGTTATGGTAAATTACACATGAGATAACTTATTCTCAATTTATATAGGTATGTATCATATAGTGTGCAATTGTAGTCAATGGCTTAAAGATATTTTTTGCTTTAATGGTGAATGAGATTAACAGGTAGATGAAGCGGAAACTATGATAATTTCATCTTACAAATCATTTTCTGCATTTGTAAAGAAGCTAGCCTTCCTAGACCCTTCAATGGTGGGAAACTCATATACTAGGCTGCCTTTTAGAAAAGAAAGGACTAAAATGGAGTAACTTGAATGATTAAATGAAATAAAGCTATAGGAATTGTTCATCCTATCATATTGCACTTCAATATCCATTTATATTGTCTTTGTCCTAAAATAATATTCTAGTATTTTTTAATGTTATGAATGGTATAGGGAAGTCCAAAACCATTTGCAAATGATTCTTCCACTAATGGGCCTAAACGATGAACCACCATAAGTGATCCGACATCACATCTTAACCCAAAACCTTAAGACTATAGGTCTTTTGCACTTATATGATCGTCACTTGGTTCGTGTTTAACCAATATGAGACTTCATTAATACTCACATTTGAATATTTCCAGCATCCTCCCTTCGAATGTGAGGCCCAACATCATGAGACAATTTTGTCTCATGGAACATAAGAAATGCATTCTCATTAATTATAAACAATAGGGCTTTTATTATATTTTATTCAAAACATCTTTGAGACATTATATGTAGGAACATTTTCATCAAACCATTATCTTATATGGCTTTGCTAATAAAAAGAAGCAATAATGATGAAATATTGTAGTTAATAATTCTTATAACTTAGATTACGTAATTAACATGAATTTACACTTTAAATATAGAGAAATATTACTCTCCTTTAACATAAGACAACTTCTCTCATTTTCTCTCACTTCGATTTTTGCACCCCACCTTTTTTTTTTCTTGTAATGGTGGGACCCACCCATTTTCTCTCTACAACATAAGATAATTATCTTATGTAGAAGGAGATTAATAAAACCCTTAAATATATTTTATATCATTTTTTAATATATATCGATTAATCCGATTGTCAGATTTATACATAGGAGAGGTTATTTTTTTCCAACTTTACTTGTTTACTATCTTATATATATCTTCATTATCTATTTAATTAATTTACTTTAATTAACTTTTATTCATAAAATCTTCAACGATTTTATAAATCAAAATGAAATAACAGAAAATTTTAATATTTAGTTAATAATTAAAGATATATTGGAGTAAGAATTATAAGGAATAGTGACCAGTAAAATTTTAATATTTATACATTAATTGCAATCAAAATTAATTGTAATTGATGATTGGTACATTAATTGTGATTGAATATTGGTACATTAATTAAATAGTCATTTTCCTTCATTCTTTTTATTGTGATTGGTATATTAATTCTTATTGGGCAACGAGATTGTGCCACATAGCCCACCAAGTTCGCTATATTGGTAGCAGATAAATCTTTGGTACTACTGTTGTACCCAAGTGGGTACAACATTTTTCCAGTTTTGGAAATTTTTTTAACACTTTTCAAATTTCTTTTTTCCCAACACATTGCACTTTATTCCAAAAGTGGAAAAATGTTGTACCCACTTGGGAACAACAGTGGTACCAAAGATTTATCCCCTGGTAGCGAACTTCGTACAGTTAGCTTTTTCTACGAAGGTTTGTCACGTGTCATGAAATCATTGGCTACCAAATTCGCTATCACTCGTAGAGAACTTGAACATAATTTTTTCTGCGAAAGTATGCCATATGTCAAGAAATCACTGGTACCAAGTTCGCTAACCGTCGTAGCGAACTTCTACACGTGGCAGTGTGGTAAATTTTATTGTTCGCGTGGCAGTTTGGTATATAAATGCCAAAAACGTGGCAGTCTGGGCACTGTTCCGAATTCTAACTTCTTAAGAAGTTTTGAAACCCTTACCATGAGATAATTGAAGAATTTGAAGTGAATCTATTTAAATAACTAAATAGATTAAAAAACTTGTTAGAAAAAGATGCGTTTACGAGGGGTAAAAAATTTAAATAAAAAATTACAAAAATATAGTATTTTAGAATTAATTTACAGATTTATTGTACTCATTCACGCTCAGGCAAAAAAATTATAATATTATTATTTTAATAAATAATTATGAATATATAATTGTTTCGAAACTATTTACGAACCTATTGCACTTATTCACGCCAAATTAGACATGATCATTCACGCTTAAGTTAGGCGTGACTTAGTAGGCATTCACGCCTAATTTAGGCGTGACTCGTTTGGTATTGACACGTGGCACAAAAAAGTCAACTTACAAACCGTAAAACTTTGGAAGACCGTAACTTTTGACTGGGGTATCCAAATCAGATAATTTTTTTTTTTGATTCCACATAACTTTTCGAGATCTATGCAATGAAACCTCATTTGACATATTTTATCTCTCACAAACATAGTTCGAATTTGTAACAATGGTATTATAAGAGCGTTTAAACCCAACCCAAAAGTCTCCGAGTTCTTTGCGAACCAACAACAAACACAGTCTTCAATGTTGTTAAAATCAAGATTTTAAGTAAAATCGGAAGGGGACTAAAAAATCATAAAACGTAAAATCATAATATAAAAAAATCGTAAAAACGTTTGGCATATTGGTAGAATCGTTTTGATGAAAAAAATCGTAAAAACGTAAAATCGTAGTGATAAATCGAGATTTTAACAACTATGACAATCTTCTTTTTTAAAATATTGAAATTGTAAAAAATATTACAAAAAACAAACTTCTAACTTTGTTAATGTTGGGAAGAAATTAAATAACTTCATTCACAAAGATAATAACTTTGTTTATGATTAAATTAAAAAAATAAAAATTATTATCAATAAGGAAAAGAAAATAAAAATTTGATTTATGATTTAAACTCAAAAATCAATCTGAAAATCTGTATTAATAAAGGAAATAATTAAATAAATATTCTAAATCTATAAAGAAGAAAGATTTTATTTTTGAAAACCATTCAAAGACTATAAGCTTCCATCGAATCTAGCCATAAAGACCCTGCCATTGTTTCGTATCAGAGACGTTTCCAAATTTCAGAAGGATGTAACTTATGATACGATTCGATAAAAATCATAAAAAAGTTATATATTTTTAATTATTTTTTATTATATTTTTTTATTTTACGATTCGATACGACTCACAATACGAAAAATTGGTCAAACGATACATAATACATATTGAGATTCAATAACCTTGTACACTATTTTTTTTTAAACACTTAGTAGAAAATATATATTTTAATATGACATTAAGTATCCTTATTTATAGATTGATTACGACTTAAAAGATAAAGTCTCAATGTACTAAAAAAAAAGATAGAGTCTCAATTCACTGTGATAAGAATACAGCCATATGATAGGGATATGGAGGTTCTAGTAGGCATAAGACTGTGTTTGGTGTTGATTCAGAAAGAACTCAAAGGCTTCTAGGTTTAAACGCTTGTATAGTACTATTGTTGCAAATTCGAACCGTGTTTGTGATAGATAAAATATGCCAAATTCAATGTCATTACGTAAATCTCAAAAAGTTGTGTGGAGTCAAAAAAATTATCTGATTCGGATACTCGTGTCAAAAAGTATGACCTTTCAAAGTTTTACGATTAAATTATTAACTTTTTGAACCACTTGTCAACACCAGACGAGTCATGCCTAAATTAGACGTGAATGCCTACTGAGTCACGTCTAACTGAGGCATGAATAGTCACGTATAATTTGAACGTGAACGAGTGCAGTAAATTCATAAATAATTTCAAAATCGTTATATATTAATAATTATTTATCAAAATAGCAATATTTAAATTTTTTTTCCGTGAAAAGTGAGCAAAATCAAATTGCAATAAAACCGGAGGTCAAAAAGGTCATCAGGACAGGACTTCGTCCCGTACAAAATTCCATGTATAGTGGCCAAGTGGGCAGTGAGTTGCAGAAAATCTTAATTCCTTAAAAGGCAACCTCTTTTTTATTTATATTTTTTAATTTTCCATTTTAATTTCAATTCCATCGTCAATCAAAAACCCTCTCTCTTATCTCTCTCCAACCCCATCATTTGCTTCCTTCACTCTTACGTCTATCGCTTTCAATCTCACTCTCTCTATTTGTTTTTGGTTTTTTTTTTTTTCCCCTTTCATTTTTCATTTTGGTAGCTGGCGGCGATAATTGGCGGGAACCAACCGTCAATTCCGATACCCCTTTAATCGGATTCGGTCAGAAAGCTTGGAAAGTTTGCAGCTTGGGATATTTGGAGAAGTGGGGGTTATCGTTATCGATGGCGAACCCTTCTGGGAACCATCAAGAGCATACTCATGCTCACGTGTCGTCTTCGTTCAACGGGAATTCGGCTCCTGAAACTTCAGGTGCTGCTCTTGCCATGAAGCACAACCCTGGGATTTCCCTCGATTGGACCGCTGAAGAGCAAGCCATTCTTGAAGATGGGCTCTCCAAGTCAGTAATTTTATTTATTATTATTATTATTATTATTTGGTGAAGTGCTTTTGGTTACGGAGATTCAAAAGTTTAAACAACAAACTCTAAAGAGTTATTCTTTATGTAAATTTCAAATTGAATCTTTTATATAAATTCCAAAAGTTTAAACCCCAATGCTTCAATATGTGATACCAATTGTTGGGATTCTCCCTAATATCCCAGGGTGAAAACCATCACTGTAAACCACTGGATACATCATATTGGATCATGGAGAAAACTAAAGGAATAATTTATATTTGATTTGAGATTCTGGGAATTGTGGATGTCTTTATATGCAGATTTTTCATGTTTTTGTTCACAGCACAGAATATGCAATTACCAAATCTTATCTTTAGGGTTTATTTGATGTGATGTATTGATACTGGAAGCACCAAATCATGTAAATATATTGATATTGATATGCAATTACCACGCTAGGATAGCTCAGAATGAGTTTGGGATTTGGTGTTCAGAGGTTTAATTAATTGCTTAACATCAGGCTTGAATTCTCCAGTCTGTACTTGGATTGCACAGTAAATTCATTTTTGCTTCCATACTGTTTAACACCTGTATTTTGATTAGCAGCGTGTGTTTGTCAAGTCCTATATAGGTTGTTATTGAACTAAAGAAGATTCCAAAATTTTCCTTGTAGGTATGCCTCAGAATCTAACATAGTACGCTATGCCAAGATAGCCCTACTACTACAGAATAAGACGGTCCGGGATGTAGCACTGCGAGTCAGGTGGATGAATGTAAGCTACATACTTGTTTGTTGCTGCCTTATGTCATTTATGTCATTTTGAATGCTATGAAAATCTTTTTTCCCCCGAGTTGATAAGAGTGCTATTACTTTGGGTATGAGTGTATGACCATTGGTTATTGGATCATTTGGATCATGTATCAACTAAGCAGCACATTCTATCTTATCATGATCCTTTTTTTGAAGATTGTCATAAAAGGGTTCAAGGTCTTAATGCTGATACTTCATGGTTATGAGAATTTCTTTTTTGCTGGAGACATGAGAATATTATCTTAGATATGTCATTGCGTGGTGAATGTCCCCTAGTATTGGAATCATGCATTTATAAATTTTATATGGTTTTGGCCTCTTGTAGTTGTACCCCCCTTCTTTTGGATTTGTTATAACCTGTTCTTCAGCTGAGATAAGATTATCCATAAGATTTATTGAATTACGTTAGATACTTGATGAAGTTCTTTAAGACTGACCATCTTGTGCCTTCCTAAACGAAAGGGGTAATTGATGACTGTTCCTGTATTAGAATATGGTGCAAGACACACTGATTCCTTTTGCAACCAGCCTCATCCTTAAGAATAATAATAATAAAAAAGAAGCTTACTGTTATTTTTGGGTTATATGAGATTGCTTAAAGCTTAGTTTCTACTTGCTCTTATTATACTTTTGTTTTGCATTCTCTTACAGAAGAAAGAAAATAGCAAGAGAAGGAAGGATGACCATAATTTATCGCGGAAAAGTAAAGATAAAAAGGTACCACTTCCATTTATTGAATATTCTTATAATTAATATATTCATTTTGTAACTGTTTTGTGTTCCACTCTTATGTTTGCTTTGGAGATGCTTTTTAATGTTTTTCTCTGTTCTATGGATGTTGGTTGTGTCTAGACCTATCTATGTTGATGTTATATGTCGAATACTCTGTTTCTCTCACTTGCTCATGCTGTCACCCTGTCAACCCTACTTTCAGTTTCAACACACATATTTAAGATTTTAAGTAATAAAAAATTGTCTTAAATTCCCTACTTCTGTAGTTATATGACTAAATCGTACTTGATCATCTTCAGATTGGTGTATACCCTTGTGATATGTGGATTGAGGGCTGACCTCTGGACATGTTTTTCCGTGGATTTCTTATATGACTTTGGAGAATCCCTTATCCTTAATGCATATAATACATCAAACAAATCATCTCTCCCCCCTGGGGTCCTCTCTAGAGCCCTCTTTTATATATTCATTTAATTTCTGTTAAACTAAATTTATCAGGCATTTGAAATTTGTAACTTGTAAGCTCATAAACTTATCTTAAGCCGAAAATGCTAAAGAGAACAAAAAAAGCTTCGCTGCATGTCATTACAACTGAATAATATATTACAGTTTCACACAAAATTCTTAGATCATTTATAATAAAATTGATGCATAATTTCAACCAAGCTTCCCTTGGACATGAAAATTTTATGCTATATTTTCCAACTCTGGAAGCGCAAAAGTATTTCAGAATTAGTTTATTCTGGCACCTTCTTATGTTACTGGACTACTAAAATTTTCATTTTCATGGAGTAAATGTTGCCTGAATTTTTTGTGCGGACTTTGAGTTTGTTTACAGCTTGCTCCTTTTAAACATACTGTTATTTCTCAGAGAATTGAATTATGATGGTTATTAATATTGTTTTTCTTTTGGAATAGATTGAGCTTTGCTTTTATTAAATTCTCTATCCAGGAAGAAGCTAGCATGGCATTTTGTTCCCTAATTTCTTTTGACTTGTTAAATTAAGGAATAGTTTAGCATCTTGTCTAAAAGAAATGCCAGGAAACAAAAGAAAAGTAACAAAGAGGAAGAAAGCTAATAGAATATTAGTGCATTTGTGAAATACCGGAAATACTTGGTTATTTCTTTATGTTTCTATTCATGCTCAATGGGAATTTAGATGCTTAGCAAAGTATATTTTTTTTTACAGGAAAGGGTTTCTGATCCTGCGGCAAAGTCATCTCACTTTGCTACTCGGTCCAACGTTCCCCCTTATGCTCCGCCGATGATTACAATGGACAATGATGATGGCATCCCTTATACAGGTCAGTCACCATACCTTGTGAATTTTTTCACAACTTTGGATGTTGTGATTTGCGAACATGACAATACAGGCTTCTATCTCTGATAGGCACTTATTTCACCTTCAAAACTTCTCATGTACTTGCATTTCTTTTTTAAATGTTCAAGCTTCTTTTTTTTTCTTTTTTTTGTTTTGCAGCAATTGGCGGTCCCACTGGTGAACTATTGGAGCAAAATGCACAGGCCTTGAATCAAATCTCAACAAATCTTTCTGCTTTGCAGGTGAGTTCTCAACATTTTTTTATCTATTGTATGTGGACAAGGCCCCGGACCAAATATTTAATTTCTTAATCGGGCTTGTTATATATGTATTTGTATTAACTGCATGGATTTGGGTATTAAGCAATGTTTTTTCTTTCTCTTTTGTCCTATGTTCTCTCCATATGCTCCTTTCATTTCATTTCAGTTAGGTCAACAATAATATGCTTATTAATGACATGACTAAATTAGGTAATCTTTGAGTTGAGAAGTCTCATTTGCTTCTTTTTGTCTTTCAATTCAGTTTTTATGTTTTCTTGTCTTGGTAGAGAATTCTCAGATGTAGGATGCTGCTAGATGCTCTGGAAACCTTATTTAAGGTTTTGGTTTGACTAATGATAGGCAAGGAAGCACGGACTCCTCAAAAAATAGGGAGTATCGTGTTCGACACGATCCGACACGCCGACACGGTGTCTGACACGCGGTCAACTTTCCCGACACGTTGACCATTTCGACACGCGAATTTGACCGTGTCCAACATGGTCAAATGGCATTTTCGTAAAAAACATAATATTTTTTTGAAAAAAATTATATTTTAAAAAAAACTAAAATATATTAGTAAAATTAATTTTTTAAAAAATAACATTTAAAAAAAACTTAACCTAACGTCCTCTTTTTTTCGATGTGTCTCTCTCTCTCTCTCTGCCATCTTATCTTCTTGCTGTGGTCTCTGGATCTTTCTTCGTCCATCTCACTTTGCTCTCTTTCTACGTCCGCCTCTGCCATCCGCCTCCGTCTCACTGGTCTGGATCCTTCTTTGTTATCGCCTCGCCTCCGTCTCACTGGTCTGCTATTTTTCGATTGTCCCTCTCTCTCTGCCATCCGCCTCGTTCTCGTTGTGGTTTCTCATTTACTGGTTTGATTCCTTTTTTTTTTTGGGACTGCTGTGGCATTTTTTTGGACTGCATGCTCGTTTATTTGTGGGTTCTTCATTCTCGTTTTAATTTTTTCAGTTTTATTGTTTTTTTGAGTTTTACTATTTCCTTTTTCCTTGAGGATGAGGGTACTGAGAATATATATATAAGGAATTAAATTTTACATACTGTAACGAATGCCCTGTATGAATGAATTTTATTTTTTTGGACTGCATGCTCATTTATTTACTTGGTACTCGCTTCAAACTTAGCAAACACATTTTAGCTAATCTGTAATCTCCATATTTTATGTTTTTCTATGGATATGCTATTATTTTTGCTTTATATTAATATAATGGTATTATGGAAATGATTTATTTTTTTGGTTAAATTGATGGATATTATTAGTTTAGTTTTATTTTTTGTTAAATTATTGAATATTAAATGAAAATTATTGAATATTAAATGAAATATACACTATATAAATTAAAAATATTTTTTAATATGTTTACCAAAAAAAAAAAAAAATATTATTTAATATTAAAACGTGTCCCAACGTGTCGAAATCCATATTTTTTTAGGATTGACGTGTCGAAGTGTCGTGTCGCCTGTCGAGTCAGTGCTACATAGATGATAGGTGAAACCAGAGTTCAGCTACTACAAGTATTGTCTAGAGCGGGTTTTTTTCAATTATAACATATCTGAAAAAAACAAAGGGAAAGTTAAAGATGTGAGCAAGTATATTCTTAAGTGTTTTTTTTTTTTTTTCAAAATTTATAATAATCAATGTATATTTTCTTCAAGTGTTTATGTCAACACAAATCAGTAAACGAAACAATATTGATAGAGCTGCCTTAATTCTGAAGCCAAGAACACAGATTCTACTTAAAATACCAGTGCATAGAATGAAGGGTCATTACATGATATCCGCAGAATGAGAATAACATTCCTGAACTCATGTTAGCACAGTTTTTCTGGCTATGTATATGTTCATCAACACATTAAAAAGATTATACGATATATTTGCTGTGGAGGTAGGTCAATATTTCTATTGGAAAATAGGGAGTTTCCAAGTACACGCCCAAGTACTTATTACCTTTTGGGTTGTAATTGCTATCTTATTAGTTTCAGCCATTCTAGTTGTTCGAAATCCACAAACCATTCCCACTTTCGGTCAGAATTTCTTTGAATATGTCCTTGAATTCATTCGAGATGTGAGCAAAACTCAGATTGGCGAAGAATATGGTTCGTGGGTTCCATATACTCACTGAAAATTTTCCCTTTATGCATTTGTTGTTCAATATTATGTGCTAATTGAGTGAACAATCTGGGATCACGTATCTTAGGAGGAAGTGAAACTGCTGAACTGATTACAGATGAGATAATCCATAATGTCTCTGCTTGATGTTCTGAAAATGGTGTTCTAGTTTATCAAAATCATTTCTATTCTTAGGCCATTCTTTGTGGCTGTAAATCTAACCAATTATTCTTTTTGTTCTCTCTATTTTGTTTCCAGATACAGGAAAACATCAATCTTCTCTGCCAGGCTAGAGATAACATCCTTAAAATTATGAATGAGTGAGTTGTACTTTTTTTGGGGGGGGACTGTTTTTGTTCTTTTCTATATTCATAGATTTATTCTGTTTTTGTTTTCTCTTTTTACATTACGGTATATGAATGCTAGCTAGTCCTTTCCTATTTGAGTTTAAAGAATTTAGAATTGTAAGTTGGCATTTTAGTAAAAGGAAATAAAGATTTTTTATGTATCTTTGTATTATATTTGTTGCTTTGACTCGATTTAGAAACACTCACTTTTTTTTTCCCTCTTTATATTCTTGGTAGTTTGAATGATTCACCAGAGGTGATGAAGCAAATGCCGCCTCTTCCGGTGAAGGTGAATGATGAGCTAGCCAATGCCATACTTCCAAGAACAACACAATGATGATGGTGTTTATTCATCGTTAACTGGGCTTGGGACTCAGTATATTCTGCCTCTGATCAGGAGAATAACTGCCAATCAAGTCGACCCAATATTTACTTTTGGAAAAAAAGAAGAAAGGATGAATAATTGCTGATAATCATCAAGTTGAATTAGTCTTCATAATTTTTGTTTTTCGAATGTTGGTTTTCCTGCTCTTGTTCTCTTGTTGGCTCTAACTTATTTGTACCGTAGGAATTGTTTAGTATTCTTGGTATTAATTGAGTTAAATTTAGGCAATGAGAGCAATAAGTTGTAGTATAATTTTATGTGTCGTCACTGTTAATTTTGTTTGTTCATTTCATTATGCATATTGTATTAAATGGTAGATATTCTTACCATGTTTGTTTCCCACCTATCCATCAATTGTAAGTGGATTGTGTTGTGGCACCGTTATGCACTTTCCATCCCGGTATAAATGTAATAATCTATTATGTGCATAAGCATTTTCTATTTGAATTTCAGACAGAGGAAGTTGAAACTCTGCAGTCAAATGTGTGTTGCCAGGTATCCTGTCTGGCAACATCAAAATTCATTATTATCATGGTTGAAATATGGGGTTTCCATCATGTTAACAAGGTGTGTTTTTGGTGTATCTTTAAGTGCATATTTATCTTGATTTGATTTTAAATTATATTGTGTTTTTATTTTATTACTCTATTTAGTTTCAAAACAATTGTTAGTTTAGAAGTTCCTGTTTGTTTTACATTATTTGTCACTTAAAAAAAATAACCGAGAAAGCATAATTTTTTTCTAGGTTTTTTTTTTTTTTTTTTTTTTTTTTAGTTTTTATCTTTTGATATTTTTATTGTGAAATAAAAGAGCATTAATACAGTTTGAAGTAATATAGTCAAATGGCTCAAATCAACCTATATTTCCTTAAAGTTGGTAATACTTAATGATTTGTAAAAATCTAAATAATATTTTTTTTTTTAAGATTAATATATTTATTTTATAAACTGAATCATTTTGAAAAGGTTGTTTTTCCTCAAAGATAAAACCCAACCCACTTGTGGATTAGGAATTTAATTGGATGAAGGGTGTGGTTTTGTTTAAAAACCCAAGCCATTCAAAGGTTTCTCATTGTGTTCGGATTATATAATTTTTTTAAATATTTTTTTTTGAGATAGCTTTAAAAATGCAATTTTTTTTTTTTTCATAAAAACCGAACATGTTATAAGTCTCGTTAATTTAATATTAATTAACAATTAAAATTTACGTACACTGCGCGGGGGGCTTCGTATGTGATTGTAAATGCAACGGAGTAGACAGTTTTGCGTAATTGTCAGCAAAGTGATTATTAATAGCGACCACAAAATAATAAACCATATACGATGTGTAAGTGTGACATTATGCATAGAAAAAGACATTCCAGTAGCAGTTTTCTTAGTGTTTAAGAATAGAACTTGATGTACATGCACATAAAGATGTTTAAGATATAAAGCACAGACGGCTGAAAATCACTTTGATTGATTCTTTGTTTAAAAAATTGCCTTTAGACTTCCACAAACCATTGTTCACTTTGTTGGAGTTGGAGCTTAAGTTAAAAACAATGAAAAAGTGTCACAAGTCTCCAAAGCAAATACACCCTGCATACTCATAATTCATGTGCTAATTATAATAAGAGAAATCATACTCTTATCTTACATAAAATTCATCTCTCATGTTACACTCACAAAAAAAGATGTGTCTTTTTTTTTTTAAAAAAAAAATAGATAGGTCCCACTTTATTTATCTCAAAATATAAGATAACTTCTCTCATACTACATGAGAGAAGTAAAACCCTTATAATAATAGTAATAACAATAGTTATCCATTTTTATAAGGGAAAAATATTTCTTCGGCTTTTATATTCAGGGACCTCAAAATGATGTCGTTTTAGGATTATCAGATTAGAGATTAAAAAATTATAAAGATAAGGACTAATATAACCTTGCAATACATTAGAATTACAAAAATACTTTAATTTTTGTTTCAAAACAACATTATTTTGAGTTTATCGGAGATAACTTATCTCTATTGACCAGAGAAATCCCTTACCCATTTTATAAATACATTTTTCTTGCTTAAATCATTTACCTACATGTTTAACATTTATTTGCTGATAGTCCAAAAAATGAGTCATTATTCGGTGAACCTCAGAAACACATTCAGATTGGAGCTGATTAAATGGCAGCCGGTAAATAGAGAATGAATTATCTCGTGTTAAAATTTTATATGATTTTAAATAAATAAGGTTCAATTATTATTAATAAAAAAAATAAATATAAAAATTTCGTCGTATAAAATTTTAATATAAAAGAATTTACTCTCGTTAAATAATTTTCGTTGTTTGCCTTTTCTTTCCAAATCCCGAAGTTCTCATCCTCGCTTTGCGTGCCAAAAGCATGGTTTGTAACAGTTTTCACTTACCAGCACCGTTATTAGAATTAATGTATTTATTTCCTGAGAACATATGAGAGTGTATATTACAATTTTTTATTTTTTTTACACAAGCTCTATATATTTTTATGGGTTTTATAAGAGTTATGTTGTAGGAAAAGTAATTGTGTAATGTTATAGAGATTCGTTTTGCGTACCGTAATTTCTTTTATTCTTTTTTCTTCAAAAAGTGTGGACCCACAAAATGTTGTGTGTGTAAGAAAGTTTGTTGTGTCATGTTAAATGACAAATGCAAACCCCTATTTTTATACATGTAACAAATACTTTTATTTTATATATATATATAAAAGTATACAAGACCTATATAAAGAAAAAAAAACATGAATTTCACATACTTTTATTTATATATAAGAGATAATTTTATTTTAAATATATTATATATATGGAAAATGATTCGTTTACAAATTTTTTAATTTTTTTTTACAAATTATACTATGTTCTCTCGGAAGAACATAGTGTAACCAGTGTAAAAATTTGAAAACGAAAAAGTTTGTAAATATAACATGCCCATATATATATATATATATATATATATATATATATATATATATATATAACATATGAAGCATGCCATCAGCTTGTTGCCTTGACCACAAAGTCATGCCATTGTCATCTTTTGACCCTTTTTTTTTTTTAATCTTTTTAACCGGTTTATTTTTTAGATTAGTTTGATTTGAGCATTATCACTCAATAGGAAATGACTCTCCCAAAACTATTTTTTTCATTCTCACTCCTCAAACATGAAATCTCTGATTAAAGGACAATTTCCTTACCACTTCTGCCAACATGAATTGGTGTCATCTTTTGACTTTTAAGGAGCAAAATAAATAGAAAATGAGGTTTCGGTCGAAACTTACTTACCAGGCACATATCTTTGTTTAGACTTTACACATCCACAGTCCTTTTGAATAAATAAGACAAACTTTTGAATTGTTTGGAGTTGTTGTCTATCATGTCAGAACTCAGAAGTGGATTAGGTTGAAAACTTGAACACTAAAACTCACCCCTGTCTGCAAGGGGGAAGTGTTTGACCCGGTTTTGTTGTTGACCCTTTGAATTCTTATTCTTTCATTTGGGAGCTTATTTTCCACTAAAAGGAAATTACAAGTCCTATTGCTTTTTTTTATCATCACCAATGAAATTAGCATCGTTGGTTCAATACTCACAATTGATGACTAGGTATTGAATAGATATTTTAGCATATGTCGGTACGCTAAAAAGTTATTGGATGGACTAAAAAAGAGGTAAATAACCAAACCCATCAAGGACTTTTTGTTTCGTTGTGTTCCGAGAATTAGTTAAAGAGAGAGAGAGAGAGAGAGAAACGATTCAGAGAATGACAAAAATCTTATTAGTGTTTCTGTTGAGGTTGGATTCGGCTTCTTGCTCTTTAAGAATGGCACTTTACTAGTCTGACTTTCTAGGTGTTTTCATATGTATCTATAATATATAAACACTCTTCTGAACCTTTATGAGAGTTTAAAATAAGATGGTTCAGCTGCAGTTGTTTTGTATGGAGAGAATTGAGGAGAAAAGTTATATGACCGTTTTTGATATACATATGCAATTCTAAGGATAAAAGGATTTTATTTTGGGTATCCTCTGGTTTATTTTAAGCCTTATGCTAGTTTATTTTGGAAGAAAGAAACTTGAAAAGGAGCCACTGAAGCTTCTTGCTGGTCCTTGGAAGAATCTCAAGTACCTTTCATCTCTCAGTATATATTGAGTAAGTTACCTTGAAAAGGCTACATGCACTTCCACAGTCAGAATGTTCTTTCCTTGAAACCAACTCATTCTACGTGAAAGGCAAACTTTAAAAAGTTCTCAGCTATTACACTATGGAAAAAAATACTAGAAGTGTCTTACACATGAAGAATATTGCTTCTTCTATATAGTTAATATTCATATGCATATTTTGATTATGAATCATGGAAACTCCCTTCCTCTCTCTTGGTTATAGAGTAAAAATGCATTGAATTAAATTTACAGGCAGAATATATTAACATCTTGGTTATGTGACAGGTTAGTGATGGCCATAGCCTTCGGCCTAGTATCTGTTATGGTGATTATTGTCTTGATTTTCCCTGAAATTGCAGCACAAGCAGTCTCAACCGGTGATTCTGTGGCAGGTGAGATTTGGTTTCCTAATATATTCCTTCAGATTTTCTGCAATTGTGCCATGAAAATATTACATAGTTAGCATAGGATATGTGTTGTTGTAAGTCAGTTCCATGTCAAATGTCATGAAATGACCAAATAGGTAAGTTTTAAATAACGTACACGTCTAAGGTCAGAATAAGGTGTAGAACAACAACCATAAATTGGGGATACATTTTAAGGAAATATTAAATGGAAATTGTATATGTGATATTATGTTCATTAACATTTGATACCAATTATTATGCCCCCCCTGCTTTAAAAAGCAAGCAAGAGCATGTCTGATGCAGACTAAGAAATTTAATAATTTTATGTAATCTATTTAAGTATACACTGACGGTGAGGAGTATTATGTATATGCTTGATGCAGATAATATGTCAGAACCCATTAGACAGCAAGACAATACTCTTAGAGTGGATCCTTTGGATAATTTCAAAAAATATAGAGGAGGATTTAACATCACCAACAAGCATTATTGGAGTGTAAATCTCCCTCCCTCTTCGTTACTTAGTATAATTTCTAACATCAACGATGTTGTTAACATGTCCTTAATGTTTTGTAGTCGCTAATATTCACTGGAAAATATGGATATGCAATTGGGGTGCTCTGCCTTTTCTGTGGAATAGTATATGGAGGTTTTTTGATAACAACCAAGTTTTATAGCAGAAGTAATGAAGGAAGAAGGATAAAGAAGATCTTTCCTTGTAATTACAAGAGTTGTGATCTTTCACTAATTCCTTTGGCTATATTGCTCATGGTATTAGCTATGTAAGTCATTCATCCTTGTGACTAGCCTCAGTAACAATGATATTTCTGAACAGGATCATCTTTTCTCTTTCTTTTTCCTTTTGCTGAAGTGGATATCTAAGGGATTATTCAATACTACTAGCATGGCTCTTTTTCCTTTGGCTATATTGCTCATGGTATTATTAGCTATGTATTAACAATGATCTTTTTCCTTTTGCTGAAGTGGATATCCTTGTTTGCATGGCTCTTGTTTTTTGTAGAGCTGCAACTGGGGTAGTTCTAGCGGGGAGTGCAAGATTCCATTCTGAAGCGAAAACATCAGTTAATATCATAATCAAGACAGCAAATGAGGCATCAGAAACAATACACAACACAGCAGGAGCGTTAAAAGACATGGAAAGTAACTTGATGGAAGCCAATTTCAATGCTGAGGCTTCTGTATATCTTGACTCTACAACTGAGAGACTTGATGATGCTTCTGCAAACATTGAAAAGCAAGCTAGGAAGAATAGGCGCCTTATTAACAAGGGTTTGAAAATAGTGTAAGACTCTTCTGTCTCTCCTATTCATAAGAAAATGTAAAATGAATAACCAAGTTCATGGTAATAAGGGATTGCTTTTTAATTGCAGGTTTGTAATTACCACCGTGATTATAAGCTTGAACTTGGTTGCTGTAACAGCTTTGTCAGGTATTTTTAATTGGTCCATATGCATAACATCATTGACATCTATCTTTAGACTCGTGAGAATTTCAAATCTTTACATCCTGTTTCGATTTTATACGAAGGAATTCTTCTACACATGATACATGATTCTCATAAAATGGAATTTTCTGTGCAGTTTCTGGTGTACTGAGGTTACGACGGGCATTGTATCTGTAAGCAAGCTAAATTGTACTTGCTTGGAACCTTAGAACTTAGAAGCAAGTGTATTTATGTTTACAAATATGATATGTGTCGCAAATCTAAAATTTTGTTTTGTTTTGTTTTCACAGGCTTCTTGTACTTTGCTGGTTGATGACAGTGATATGCTGGCTATTCTTTGGAGTCTATTTCTTCTTAGAAAAGTAAATCCAAGTCCTTTCTGATTTACAGATTCTCAAAGAGTTTACAATTTTTTCCAGCAATATAGTTATAAAGAAAAAAGTTTTGAGTACTAAAGAGTTCTCCTATATTGTAGATTTTCTAGTGATGCGTGCACAGCTCTTGACAACTTTCAAGAAAATCCTTATAACAACAGCCTAAGCTCCATCCTCCCTTGTGATGAATTACTCTCGGCAAAATCAGTTCTATCTGATGTTAGTGCTGGGATCTATAACCTTGTTAATGAGGTAAGTTTTACATAATCTCAAACATCAGCTTCTTTTTTTCCCCTTCTACATTATGACTTCAACCAATCCACTATAGAGGCCTAAACTGAGCCTTTTATTCATATAAATAATATTTCTGTGGTTCCTAGTTCTACTCTATTATTATTATTATTCATGTAACACCTGGCCGCTTCAAGAATCAATGACTATCCTCACATACTAACACGAGACTTTTCAGTGTGCTTTTTCCTCACTCGCACACTTCCTGGGAAAACTTCCCAGGAGGTCACCCATCCCAGAATTGCTCCAAGTCAAGCACGCTTAACTTTGGAGTTCTTCGGTTCCGGGCTACCGAAAAGCAGATGCCTCTTGTTAGTATAAGTAGTACCAATTAATTCTTATAAGCTATCCCAAACTGTGCAGTCTCACACCTGCACAGTCTTTGGAATCCCTCTTTTTCGGGTGCCGATTCGATTCATTCATGCATGTAACCCCCTGCTGGAAGCCTGTCAGGAGCCGTTCTTTGTCCATGCCCTTTCGCACCGGCGATCACTCCTCGTCTTCGTCAGCGCCCGGGATGTCCTGGTTCGTCCTCGAACCACACCGTACTGGAAGAGAGGCCCTGCTCTGATACCACTTGTAACATCTCGGGCGCTGACGAGGACGAGGAGTGATCGCCGGTGCGAAAGGGCATGGACAAGGAGCGGCTTCCAGCGGGGGTTACATGCATGAAAGAATCGAATCGGCACCCGAAAAAGAGGGATTCCAAAGACTGTGAAGGTGTGAGACTGCACAGTTTGGGATAACTTATAAGAATTAATTGGTACTACCTATACTAACAAGATGCATCTGCTTTTCGGTAGCTCGGAACGGAAGAACTCCATAGTTAAGCGTGCTTGACTTGGAGCAATTATGGGATGGGTGACCTCCTGGGAAGTTTTCACCAGGAAGTGTGCGAGTGAGTAAAAAACACACTGAAAAGTCTCATGTTAATATGTAGGGATAATCATTGATTCTTGAAGCGGTAGGACGTTACAATTCATATATAGCATTGGTGTTTGGTGTTCAATCCAACATATTGGACCTCGTATATAATGTAGTAGTCATGTTTTGGTTTTGGTCATTGTCCAGGTGAATGCAAACATAACAACCCTGCAGGCAACATCAGATCCGAATATTGTTCATGTTTGCAATCCTTTCTCAGAACCCCCTAAGTATTTATACCAGCCAGAAAACTGTCCAGCTAATACTATACGAATAGGAGATATCCCAAAGGTATGTCACACAGAGTGGGAATAATGTCTTATTGAAAATTCTATTTCTGCACCTAAATTATAAGACCAAGATATGCTAACATTATTGTTTCCCTGATCCTCCTCTATAAGGTATTGAAGCCTTTTACATGTACAGATGCCAATGATGGAACTTGTGACAATGGAGATTTCATAACTGGCAGTGAATACGTGAAAGTTGAGGCTTACACAAGTTCAATTCAGGACCTACTGAACGTGTATCCGAGTATGGAACACTTGTTAGAATGCCAGGTGGTAAAAGATGCATTCTCTCAAGTCCTTGTCAAACACTGCAAGCCTTTGAAGAAATATGCTAAGATGGTATGGTCAGGAATGGTGTTTCTTGGAGTGATCATGGTCTTGTTGGTTGTGCTATGGACTATAAAGGCTCGTCACGAGCAAAGTTATCATCTTTCACATGGTTCTGTGGAACCCCATTTTACAGCACCAAATGCAAATGCCTTGGAATCAGGACCAGCTAAAGAGATTGAGATTTGACAACAACAAAATTGGTTAATAATTAATCAACCATATTCTATTTATTTAGTGCACACAAGAACTTAGGAACCAGATATTGGAAGGAAAATGCGCAAGCAGCTTTCCAATAATCTCGTATAGGACTTGTAACATTGTACACACATAGAGATACACAAAGTCATAAACTCATAGGATAGACCAAGGGTGTCTAGAATTTCCCTTTGGTGATATAATTTTCAATTTTCCACAATTTTTGTAAAACACAATTCACTTTTGAGTATGAAGTTAAAGGAAGGGGACCAACCCCATGTAAAATCATCAAACAATAATACGAGATTATTTCATCTAGTTGCCCTTTTTCTGTTTATTTATGAGGGGATATACTAACTACCTTATTTTTTTATTACCTCTCTAATTACCGTTGGATTAACATATTAATCAACGACTATAACAAATTCTTACAAACTATAATTATAACTATGTACTCTGGGTACATAGTAATTGATCAAATGATAATCAATCAGGTAGTAAGAGTAATAAGATTAAAATGATAACAAGTATAACCTTCCCTTAATTATTATTTTTTCTCTTTCTTCATAAACTTGTCAGCTAAAGTAGAGAGAAAAAATATTGATTTAATGATGATTAGAAAGATAGTGAAAAAATAAGGTAGAATAAATATCCTCCCTTTATATTATTTATATGCAATGTGTTTATCCGAACTATGTTATCTTTACTGGGCCAAGAAAAATTTGGGCCAGCCCGCTATCCCTATCCAATAGGATGGGCCGTGGATGCCATTAGATAAATAAGGCGAAGAGGTTTGTTTGTAATAATTGAATCGAAAATGGAAAAGAAAAGTGATGGTGTTGTAGTCAAGCTTAGTGATTGTTTAGAGGAGCTTGTTAAGTTCACTCTAGACTCTCACTCTTACCTTAACAATCTCAATCTCTCCACTGAATTCTGTTCCACCCTTCTCAAAGATGATGACCCAACATACTCATCCTCTTCACACGGTACTTACCCACTTTTTTTTTTTTTTCTTTTGGGTCTTCAAATAAGCCAATAAACTAACAAGAAGTGAGATGATCAAAATTCATTCTAAAGTTTGTTTTTTTATTTTTTATTTATTTTTTTGTGAGGTGGGGGGAGGGTTGATTTTGATCCTATGGAAATACAAAATATATGCATTTTTTTAAATATTTTGCAGATTCTTTGGAAGGAGTGCCATTGTATCCCTTGTACAAGCGTCTTGCCTCAGCTCTGTTGAGGTGTATGGATTCTGAAGCATTTTATGGGACAGGCTGCAATTTAGCCATGGCCCATGAATTTGAAAATGCTTCCATGAAACAGAAACATAGTGAGTGGCACAAATTGATTGTGGAGAATGGGTCAGAAATAATGAATGTATAATGTTATGTTAACTACTGCTTTTTTGTTTGCTCCTCTTTATCTATTGATTAAGCTGGACTTATATATTTTTGTTTCAACAGATTCTGAAGAGTGTTTCCCTTGAACTCAATGTTCAAGAGCCTTTTTTTTCCCAGCTAAAAGGTACTAATCACTCCATAGTCCATTCGAATATGATGAAGTTCGATGTAATCACAGCTAAAAAATATATATATTTTTGCATAAGCCCTGTTGCTGGGTTGAAAAATTATCTATTGCCCCTAAAAGAAAGAATAAAAATACTGCATGTAAGTACCATCGATAATGTCTTTGGACATGACACTCTCATTCATACTAGTGTTCAATTCTGCTAAGTCTTATGATGTTATTGCCTGCAGATGGCCTGAAAACAATTGAAGGGAGGTGTGCCAGTGGTAAATACAGCAGGTTTTTCATATTTTTTTTGTAATTTCAAATATATGCTAGATATGTATAACTGTTATCTTATTTTAATTTTCTTGATCGTTTCCTTCATTCACATGGAGTTAGTGATAGACCACTGAATTCATTGTTTTGTATGGTATGAATATTTTGAATTCTGAGTGCTCTTGATGTAAAAGACATATGAAAGTAACATTCAGTAATCAATTGGAAGCAAACTCTGAACCAACTGAACAAACAGATGACTTATTTATTGAAATTTTGAGACTTTTAGTGGCAAGAACAAATTCCAACGGGCTTGTAGCTCGACAGGCACAGGCTAAAGTCTTTTAAGACTTGGTTGTGATGATGTGAGAGGTTTGATCCTTCATTAGGCTACCTATCCTCTTCCCCTACCTAGGTGCTTACCATTCCAATATGACCAAAAAAATAAAATGCCTCTCTTCCCTGTCTAGGGAGACAAATTATGTATGTGATATCTTCGTATTTAAAATTTTTATCTAGCTATTATGTCATAATCACTTGACCCAGGTTACCTACCAGCTCCATATGGACGTTACTTGAATTTTATTTTCTCTTAATTGTTTGCTATTGATTTACTATGAGTTATATGTTGGCTATTTTACTTCGCTCATTTGCTTTATTTTATTTTATTTTTTCTAATTTGGTTCCCAGGATTGAATTAGGAAATCTGATTCTCTTCAATAAGTCTGTGGTGTTTGAAGTTCAGGTGATGTTTGTTTCATTGTTAATTGGTACTTCTGCCAGTAAAGGCTTTGCTCTGTTCTCTTTGGAAAAAGCTCCTCTGAATTGAGATTGTTTCTAAAGTGAGCAAGTAAGTGTATATCCACCTTAAATTTTAGTGAGCTAAGATCACAATGCACATTAAATCAAAGAAGGGTGGTACACCCTTGATTGCTCACTTCAGATGCAAGCTCACTTCAGATGCAAGCTCACTTTAGAGAGTCTTGTCTCTTAACTTCATCAATATTTAGGGAATACAATGGTATCCTTCGTTCTTTGACATGTTGGAGGCAGAAAGCCTTGGGAAAGTTCTTCCAGGAGTTGAAAGTGTTGAAGAAGGTACTGAATGTCCTGGTTATACACAAAGAAACGGAATCAGCATGTATAGCTAGACCAATAACCACTTGGAGAATTATTCAATTCAAAATGAATAACATAATGAACTAAATAACTACTCCGAATGATTATTTGATCCTGCATTGTATTTATTCATCCAAAATCTTTTTAAGATGAAAGAACCACTGTTCAATATATGTCGAAGTCAATTCCAGATTTTATACTGATGCTTCCACAGTAACACTTGCTTAGCATTACAGGTGTAAAAATCTACAGGAGGTTTTATACAGAAGAGAAGGAACAGGCAAATGGTGTTCTTGCAATCACTGTTTCAAAAATGGCCCTTCAACCATACATTTCTTTGGCTAGTTTATTTTGTGTGGGTTTACTTTCCTATGAAACTATAGCAACTGATCTGTTGACTTATTGGATTTAAAAATCATCTATGAATCCTCTAAAAGGCTGCTTCAATCTGATCTAAATGATTGGTTATTGATATGATTTTGTCTTTGATTTGTGAATTTTTATTACTTCATGATTATCATAATATGTATTTCATATGCAGAAAAAGCAATGGTTTGCATAGTAATTTTAGATTGATATTTTGCAAAAGAAGAACAGAAACAGCCATTCACATGTTTCTGTACTTACATATGTCATGTTTAACCTGACTGCATGTGAACTAATGCTCAGAGTGTTCATATATAAAACTCCACTTAAGATAGTTCCTGATTATTGTGCTGTACTGCTTTAATCTAGGGATTAAGCTACGAGGGTGTTCAAGGCCTTCTAGGTCTGGTGCACACCACAGGGACAATTCCTAATGCGCTTCCACCACCAAGATCAACTCTATTGGCATCATTTAATTTGCCATGCAAACCAGATGTAAGAAAGTTACTTTCTTGCACCTTTTCTTTTCTTTTTCTATTTTTTTGTTGTTGTTGTTGTTGTGTGTGTGTGTGTTTGTTGGGGGGGTAAGGATTTTGCAGTCTTTTAGTCACTTTCACCTCTTTAAGGAATTTTTGGAATTGCCTCTGTCTATATTTATGTAGAACCTTAGGAGAAAATCACTCTGCATTAACAAACAGAATTCAGACTATAGGAATTTTCTCTGTTTTTATTTTAATAAATTGTTCAGACCCCAATGGGACAACGACTTTATTGATACTTTATGATAAATTATATATATACTCTTAATTATTGTTATTTAGGAATTTGCCTTGACTCATGGAGCTCGTGCATTGGCCAAGCATGCTTGTAGGAGTAGCAGTGGTTATTGGGGTTCTCTGGATGGAAACGGTAAGTGTGTTTTTTTAAAGAGAATCATTTAGATGTGTCTGGTAATTGCTTTTCAGTTTCCCTATTGCATTGGTTATCTAGGTTTGTGTGCAAGTTGAATCTGTTTCCCATAGAAGAATTTATCTGAACTTGTTTCCTGTGTTAGGTCCAATATTTTTGCTGAAATGTTTAGTTTAGTGAGTATATATTAGCAGCGTCTCACTCTCTAATAATTTGATCACATTATTTTTTATTTATACTTTCTTTTTCAACGTTCTTTACAGATTCTAATAAAAATAAGCTTGCAATGGATGTTATTAACCGCTTAATAGCGCATTGTTGTTGGCTGAATATACATACTGTCGCGCCGCATGGAGTTGTCTTTGAAATAAGGGTTGCTGATGGATATGGTGCACGTTGGACAGAAGATGGAACTAAGGTGTGTGGATAACCACTGCATTCTGGTATTTATCTGCTTCCATTACAGTTTTATACATGGTATGCTGTTCTCGTGGCATAACTTGAAATATGACATTATGCTCAAAATCAAGCATTTGATGTACTGTTGGACTTCCATTATACTCATCCACTATTTAATGACTGGGAATAAGGTTTGAACCTGGAGAAAAGTTTTGTATTTTCAACTTGCAGGATTCATTCATTGTTCTTTAAACTTGGTAACAAATAGAGCTTTGTATTAAAAAAAAAATTTCAACCTACATCTTTTCTGTGATTTTGTTTTTTCAGTTTATTGGATTTTTAGAGCCCTACATGCAAGATGGTCACTCAAAAGGATGGAAGCACTAGTTCTGCTAGCCAGACCACAACAACTATACCTCTGTAATTGAATGCCATCTTTTCCTTTTGTCTTGTGATGGAATTGTGTTTATGTTACAATATTTGTATTTTTATCTTCGGTTTTTTTTTTTTTTTTTTTATCAAGTATTTGTGAGTCTTTTCTTTCTTTTCTTCACTTGTTGATGTTTTCTTTTTCTTTCTCCCTTGCCATTGTCATCTTCTCTCCTCTCAGTATGGACTTTTCTATGCAGTTCATGTAGACATCAGCACCTGTTGGAATACATATATATACAACAGCAATAACAATAAAGCCTCATTTCACTATATAGGTAGAGTTAGCTAAATAGATCAATTTCCATTGTGATTTGTGATCTATCAAAAACCATAATTTCAGTAATATTGTGTTTATATCTCTCTTTCCTTCTATAACACATTTATATCCCCCAGAAAAAAATTATAAAACCAATATAGCGTTTTTACCGGGGAAATTACAAGCACTTTTTGTTTGGTTTAAGAAAATGTCTTCTGTCTCTATTTTTTGTTTTTACTAATATTTATAAAAATATCACTCTGTTTATAATTTATTTTTTGTTATTAAATGCTTGTATAAGGAATGATAAAAATAACAAAAATGTTGTCAAAATGAGGTGACATTGTTGTAATTATCAATGAAAATAGGAAAAACAATTAGAAAATAATTTTTTTGGAATCAAATATTCATTTCTGAAAATAAAAACAAAACAATTATTAGTTTGCGAGGAAAAGTCCGTTGAAACATTTATTGCCGAATTAATTTCTCAGCATACGGTTTAATCATTGTTAAATATTAAATTATAGCCTATTCTCGGTTAAATTTTTAAAGTCTATTACTTAAGCATTTTTTGATTTTTTTTAACTTAAGTATTTTTTTCTAAAAAAAAATTAATTTGTTCTTAGTCTATATTTTTATATTTTATTTAAATTAATTGTACATATCTCTTTTATAATTTTAAATATTTTTTCTTAATTTTGTTTACTTTTAATTTATATAGTATTATAATAATATCAGGAAAATTTGTACCCAAATCTCGGGGATTACCATTAGTTTATTATTATTATTATTATTATTATTATTATTATTTTGGTATACCAACCCTTATTACTTCTTTAAGGCGATTTTGCACTCCAGTATCTTCATAAGCTTCAATTCTTTGAATCGGCTATGAGACTAATCCCGAGTCAGGGTTTAGTTACAGTTAAAGCTCTTGACTCTTTTTCAAAAGATGTATTTGGTGAGAATTGAACTTAGATTTTCTCCTCACCTATTTAGCTTTAGTGGCCAATTGAATTACACACATTGTCTTAAATGAGATTTTAATACAAGTTACACTGTAAATCCTTTTACCCCGTGACATTGCTGAATACCAACTTTTTTCTTTTCTTTTTTTGTATATTCCAATCGGTTCATTGTTTGGTGATTAGTCTGATTCGGGATGAGTCATAGAATTAAGGCTTTAAACCCCTCCCAAAGACAATAATGAGGAGGATTGAACACATGCTCTTATCCCACCTGCTCAGTTCTCTGGCACCAACTAAGCTACCATCATTTGGTAAATACCAACTCTTCTAATAATGTTTAATTAAACCAATTTCAGTGATATACCATTTTCCCCCCTCTCTTGATGTAGGTTGTGGCAAGTTTTATTCTATTTTACGTTTAAATTGTTATTATTATTTTGGATATTACAATTCAATTTATTGATTACTTTACTAGTCTAATTTGAGTCAGATAAGGCTATATAGACAGTAAAGTTCTTAATAAATTTTAACACAACTATTTTTCGAGGACTCAGACTAGATAGGTTAATTAAGCTGAAACAATCTCTTACTATCTCTTACTAGTTGAAGCATATGTTTGGTGGTATGTTTAAATTTCTTTGTATCTGAATGAGACGGTAGTCTCATTGTCATGGCTATCACTAGTGAGACGACCATGGCCTGTGTTTTGAGCCATAGCCATTACAGTTGGAACTTTCTTGTTCCAAACCTATCACCATCATAATAAACTTTAGCTCTGCTATGGCACCAGTGAATCACAGTTATACAGGAGACACTTGGCTTCTGTTACTATGCTTGTCATACCTGCATGCAACTCTGCATTGGGATGAACGGATATGATATATAGCACACAAGTTGGTAGGTAACAAAGTTGTAGTTTTCTGTCTTGTTTGCATGCATTTATGTATCTTTGCGTGTATAACAAACAAGCAGGCTTTGTGTTAAGTTGGTTGTTGAACTGTCTCAAGCACCAAGCATAGAGATATCTGAATTCTGAATTATGCATGAAAGTCGATGTCTCCTATTCTAAATTGTACTTGCAGTTTGGCGTCGTGTTAGATCATGTTGAATTGAAGATTCTTACATCAAGAAAATTAAGAAGAAGAAAAACAATAACATCTCCACCTCAATACAGTGTTTTAGTGTGTGGAATTTGAAGTTCTTGGTTGTATAGTTAATTCTTGTATAGGAAAGAAGAATCCAGAGGAAGATTGGATTTGGAGACATATCTATTCTTGGATGTATCAAATCTGTAGGGGAAGTTAGTGGAGGCATGTAACATCAGCTTCTGCCTCATTCTACTAATCTTTGAAAACAAATCATGTGGCTATACTTGCATATGAAGCTAGACTTTGATAAGACTAGATATCCTCTTTATGCTGCCAATTTCAATGGATCTACAGTTTGTGTGCATTTGGTTGCTGATATATATGCAGCTACCGCTAATGTCCATTCTCCATTATCAAAAAATATAAATAACTGGAAAACCAACCATCTAGGAACTTTTTTAAAAAATTGATTTGTGTATGCTCATTAACGGTATTTCATAATTAATTTATGGGATTAATGTTTACTGATGAGCGTTATTCTTACAATCTAAAAGTTTTACAACCTCTTACAACCTATTTTTTATTATTGATTTCCGTCAATCCAATGATTATGATTTATTAAGTTATATTTATTAATTAATTATTAATTCCAATAAATTATAATAGTTGGATTGAAGAAAATCATTAGTGAAAAAATAGGTTATAAGAATAACGGTCCCCAATGTTTCTCATATTGTAAGAAATAATTTTATCTCCTACGCACACATAAAAGTGTATGAGACCCATGTTTAATTTTTTTCTCTTTTTTCTTCATATGGCCCCACATGAGGTCCATACATTTTTATGTATGTGTAGAAAATAATTTTATTTTTTACCGCATGAAAATTATTGATCTCTTTAATTTATATGCATTTTAGTCTTTATAGACTTAATTGCAACTTGACTTTGCAAACCCACAGCATGAATATGATAATCATGAAGCTTCATTCATCTGCAGTAAATCTTGGTGCTTGGCATGCATTAGATGAGAGAGTAGAAACTAGTATGAGATGAATTGTTCATAAGATCTTAAAAGAATTTGTAGTTAATAGCAGTTGAGTTGATAAAATTCGTTTTCTGAAAAGTTTTCAAGCAAATTCAACAAATTTATTTTTGAATTTTTTTTCTGCCGATCCGTGAAATTAAAGGAAACACATTTATTGGTAACAAGATTAACTGATTACTTTTTTAACTGTATTATTGAGAGAGAGAAACAAATTACGTGACCTTGAATCAGCCAATCATTTTGTTGGAAAAGTGACAATAAGTTTAATTAAAAATCATATTAAAAAGTGAGTGACGAAATTATATCATCAATATTACGTATGCAATCGTCGAATTTAAAATTTATTGCTGAAAAATCATGTCAAAAAGTATAATCCTTTAAAAACTTAGTGACGTAACTTTATATCTTATAGAATAGCGATGAATAATGCAAAATCATGGGCCACCATCAATAGGATCGCCCAAAAAACCTTTTTTAAACAAAGTAAAATAATTAAGAAACGGATGAGGCTATAGCAAAGACATTAATTTCCCCCGTGATTAGATGGTGTGTTAAAAGGAGCTTTTCTCAACCTTGTCTTCTTGTCTAACCATTAGCAGAGAATAAGTTCCATTTGGTACTGATCAGACCAAATACAATATGGACTAGCCAATGTATATCGAGTCTAATCACACACGGTTGATGTGGTGAAGATACTTCTTCTTCTTGGGCTTGAGGTTGCTGATAATAAAATCTAAACTTTGATCCTTCGTTAGCGTGATCTTTGAGCCTTGATGGGGGATACCTGCGATGACACTCCGATGCTTAAATCAGTATCAGTTGCAGATGTAAGTATATTCTCTATGAATTAGATGATCATACCTGGGCTGGTACCCCTTGCTTATATAGTAGTTGAGATGCTGCATTGAGAAAGCGGTATGGCCTCTGATTGGCCGTTTTCGGGCTGCAGGTTTGGCTAGAGTGTTAATAGCCTTATCTTTTACTGCCAAGCTACCCTGCTAGAGTAGCGGCGAGCTGGTGCTGTCCTCTACGTATTTGTACAAAGGCGTGGTGGGTTCGTATTAGTTCTTGAGGTTACTTCCTTACTTATGAAGTTATGCTATTTGGGCGGTTTCGTGCGCGATGGGTGCACCGCGTCACGCTATGTGCGATGGTGGTCATCGCGCTTTGTTCTGGGTCCTCATGAGATTGGGCTTCGTCGTAAGTTTTTGGGCCTTCAATGGGCCTACTATATTTTATCCAGATCAGTTTTCTCCTAGCTTGCAATTTTGACATGTGGCAAAGCTGTGAGGTATATATATGTGTTTGTGCGCGATAGATCTTTTTGGCGTGGTTATATGTTGCCGCGATAGTCATGTTAAAGTGTCATCATGATTTAGCCGCTTAAAAATGGTGGATTAAACGTTAACTGTCAGAAGTATTAAATGTTATTGTAATTACATGGGTGTTTAATGGCAAGCGTGGGCTGTTTTGAAGTGCAAACGTTTTACCTTCTCCCCACGTGTCCCTGTGAAACCGTTTTACTCAACACGTTTTGTGACCTTCTGAATATTCGTTTTGGTAAAGTTTACATATTTGTACTGAGCTATTCGGTTTGGAGGGAAAACTCGTCATTATGACTCTGCTTTTCTAGTGTTGACACGTCCTGCTCATAGTTGATTCATCCGAAGTATAAATTTCAGGTATGCTTTTCGTGTTATTTTATTACCTCATCTGTTTCATCGTTC